GTAACACGATACTTTTGATGCCTTATTACGCTTGAACTTGAACGTTACTGAGCTCCCCTCTGATGGACTTTTCAGTGATACAATACGATTTTAAAATCTAAAATGCATTATATAATCGAAAACGCAAACAAAACAAAACTAAATGTCTAATATCTATTTAGTCACTCACGAATCAAGAAATTTCGGTGAATAATATTTGTCAAAGTTTCCGTTTTAAATCTCTAGGATTCTTATTTAGTTTGAGCTCTTTATCTGGTTCCACAAATTTAGAACCCTGTACCGAAATGACCACTGACGGGCAGCTGTTTCAAATAGAGACATTGTTACGCATATTTGAGCACTAATTATGACACACTGGTGCAGAACTTTTAAGTTCTACAGCTTAAAAACAAGAAGTTTGTCAAACCTCCATCACGTACGATAGTAATTGCGTTCGTTTTGTTTTTCATTACATAAATTTGTGCTGATACTTTCTTTTGATTAACAATTAACTGACATGATGTCTTTCGGGGAGGTAACGACACGAGCGTACTTACTGTGAACATGTAAAACGCCATTAGATTCGGCAGATATTGGTTGCTAACTTTTATTATATTAAATATTAACTATATTGAAGTCCAAATACATTACTTCTTTGAAGTATTTTCTACTCTCATATTACATACAGATACTAGGACTTTCTGTATAATAATTTTAATTTGATTCCTCTCAAACAATAGCATCTAAAACGTACTTGCAAAACAATTTACAATAAACTCACCTAGCCTTGACGTTCGTTCCCCCAATTTAGGGCAATGACTCGAAACGCAACTTAATCACACAAAATTAATAGGCAAAATAAAATCAATAGTATCAGTAATTCATAACATCCACCGAGTACTATCGGAGTATGCAGCAACAGTCAAACATGTGGACCTGCATTAAGCGGTCAAGTTCCGAAAATCATTTTCCGTTATTATCCTTTTTCAAAAATATTATTTTTGAACTAAAACCTGAAGGCCAACAAAAATTGAAATAAGTAAACATTTAACATACATATGTTCAATAAACGCATGGGACTGATTGTATGGGGAAGAAAAAGTCGAACGGCCCAAATGCAACTCTTAATACAGCATTAAAAACTTCAGCTCTATAAATTTTAATGTGAGAGATATTTTAGCTGCCTGTAGTTTAATTCGGACATTGCTCCGCTTGGTTAGCTTTTATAGACTTGACCATGCACAACGCTGAACAGCATTCTTATCACTTTGAACTTACTGACCAATAGAAACATTGCATTAATTTATTCAATCACAATTTGTGAACAAAAAAAAAAAGGATTGTGCACAGTCAGGAAGCTTTCAAGACTTAAACTGCAGCACCGTTGTTTTTATCTTTGCTGTTTGCCGGATTTTCATAACCAGTCTCCTCTATCACCCATATGTTTTAACCAAGTCCGAAAATAAGTTGGTGGTCAGTCAACTTTCCTGTTGCCAACATGGCTCGACATTACGAACATTCGAGTAAGACGAACAGCAACCAAATCCTCGACAATAATTATGTAGTCGTCTCACTAATATATAGAGGATATTACACGGTGGCGAGAAGATATGTATTTTATGTTCGAGTGGCAAGAACAATATCTCACGAGTGAGCGAAGCGAACGCGTGAGATATTGTTCTTGCCACGAGGACATAAAAGTCATATCTTCGAGCCAACGTGTAATGTTCTTTTTATTATATGGAGAAACCAATTCAACAAAAGCAAAAGGCGGGAATCGTGACGTCATTGAACGATACGACACTCACAAAGGTGACATACGGAAAATACGCCACTCGGGTCCCGGATGAAGTGGCGTATGGAATCTACGAGTGGTTTAGTTCCCAGTAAAACA